TAAAAAATGACTTTAAACGTTAAATTGAGAGCCAACTTTTTAAAACATTCCTAGATCATAACTAACATCTAAATCTAGCGGGGAAATCGCTTTAAAATATTCCTAAATCATAACACAGCTAAATCTAGCGGGGAAATCGCTTTAAAATATTCCTAAATCATAACACAATTTAATCTAGCGGGAAAATCGCTTTAAAATATTCCTAAATCATAACACAATTTAATCTAGCGGGAAAATCGCTTTAAAATATTCCTAAATCATAACTCAGCTAAATCTAGCGGAGAAATCGCTAGAATGGGAACACGAGCGTAACTGTGTGATGACTGAAGTGCGGTATGCATGTCAGGCGTCATAATGGCAATCTGTATTATGTAATAATAAGGTATAATTATAAGGTATGTAATTATAATATAATCATAAGTATGTAATTATAATATAATTATAAGTATGTAATTAAATATAGTTATAAGGTATGTAATTATAATATAATTATAAGTATATAATTATAATATAATTATAAGTATGTAATTATAATATAATTATAAGGTATGTAATTATAATATAATTATAAGTATGTAATTATAATATAATTATAAGGCATGTAATTATAATATCATTATAAGTATGTAATTATATAATATAACTATAAGTATGTAATTATATATAATTATAAGGCATGTAATTATAATATAATTATAAGTATGTAATTATAATATAATTATAAGTATGAAATTATATATTAATTACAAAGGTAAGTAATAATAAGTATAATTGTCATCATAATTTAGGGTTTTATTTTCACTTCAATTTTAGGAGTTTTTTCTCTCTCTTTATTTACAACGATACAAGAGATCACGGTATTTTCCATTTTTCATCATTTTCTAAAAAAACGCTAATATTTCATTTACATTCGAATCCACCGTTGTTGTGTTTCACTCGCCTCACCCGGAAGCGCAAGAGTACATGTCAGACGAAGAGAAGTGATCCTCATCGGGCTTTTTTGCGCTCTCGTTCAGTGGTTCGAGTCGGTTTGGGAGCAAGGCTGTGGGTGTCATGTCGGAAGGCTTCTTCCCTTTGCACACAGTCACATTTACGGTTAAATACACGCGTGCATATACACAGACGTATGTACATGCGTGTATAGGTATATATGAATGTGTGTTTATTTATGTGTGTTTGTGTGATGTGTATGTGTATGCATAGGTATATGTGTGTGTGTGTGTTTGCATATATGTGTGTGTGCGTGCATATATATATATAATATTATATATATATTATATATATATATATATATTCTATATATATATATATATATATATATATTATTATATATTATTGTATATATAATATATATTATATATATATTATATATATTATATATATATATATATATATTATATATATATATATATATATATATATATATATATATATATATATATATATATATATATATATATGTATATATCAATCAATAATTTTTATGGCAAAATGAAGGTACAATATTCATGATTTACCAAACTGTATGTTTTTGTTTTTGTTTTTGTTTTGTTTTTATTCGAGAAATCAGCTGTTCCAAGAAGTAATCAAAGCATTCCATTCCGATCGCCCTCATTCAAAAGCTCCCTAAATGATAGATGCAATATTGGATGCGCACGCCACCGCCCTATCTCCGTCTCAAAAGATTTTCTTTCCTTTTTTCTTCTTTCTTTCTTTCTTTCTTTCTTTCTTTTTCTCTTTCTTTCTTTCTTTCTTTTCTTTCTCTTTCTTTCTTTTCTTTCTCTTTCTTTCTTTCTTTCCTTCTTTCTTCTTTCTTTCTTTCTTTTCTTTCTTTCTCTTTTTTTCTTTCATTCTTTCTCTCTTTCTTCCTTTCTTCTTTCTTTCTTTCTCTCTCTTTCTTCTTTCTTTCTTTCTTTCTTTCTCTTTCTTTCTGTCTTTCTTTCTTCTTTCTTCTTTCTTTCTTTTCTTTCTTTCTTTCTTTCTTTCTTTCTTTTCTTTCTTTCTTTCTTTCTTTCTTTCTTTCTTTCTTTCCTCTTTATTTCTTTCTTTCTTTCTTTCCTTCTTTCTTTCTTTCTTTCTTTCTTTCTTCTCTTTCTCTTCTTTCTTTCTTTCTTTCTTTCTTTTCTTCTTTCTTTTTCTTTCCTTCCTTTCTCTTTCTTTCTTTCTTCTTTCTTTTCTTTCCTTCCTTTCTTCTTTCTTTCTTTCTTTCTTTCTTTCTCCTTTCATTCTTTCTTTCTTTTCTTCTTTTCTTTCTTTTCTTTCTTTCTTTCTCTTTCTTTCTTTCTTTTCTGTCTTTTCTTTCTTTCTTTCTTTCTTTCTTTCTTCCTTCCTTCCTTTCTTTCTTTCTTTTCTTTCCTTTCATTCTTTCTTTCTTTCTTTTCTTCTTTCTTCTTCTTTCTTTCTTTCTTTCTCTTTCTTTCTGTCTTTCTTTCTTTTTTTTTCTCTTTCTTTCTTTCTTTCTTTCATTTCTTTCTTTTCTTTCTTTCTTTCTTTCTTTCTT